GGCATTCTGTGCAATTCTGGGGTTTGTTGTTTTGGTGAGGCACTAGAGCTCTCTGGCTGAGGATTCATAGTGCAAATCCCAGGATTTTTGGGGGGAGATGGTTCTGTGCCAGTTATTTATTTATTATGCCAGAAGTGAATTGAGAATACTGTTCTGTCACGCGCTGGGCCTGTAACAATTGTCTTTAGTATAGGACTTTATGCCCAGCGGGAAGCCAGGGCGCCTCAAAGAGAGGTTCTCAGGGATTTTTCTGATGGTCTTTAGAGTCTTTAATGATACAACAAAGTCTTTATTATGGAACAAACAACAAATCTTCAATAGTTCAAACAACACTTCAAGGCTTTCTTAGTCTAGTCCTCAAGGGACTGGTACCTGACTTTGATTAACTGTACTTTCTCTGTAAGAAAAAAAAACCCTTTTAACCTCTCCTAGGCTGCCTATTATCTAGGCCTCGTTGATGTGGGTCCTACTACCAATTCCAAATGCATCTGGGCATCGAGTAGACCTACCAGCCAAGGCTTGTAGATATTTCAGCTTGAGTTCCGTGGATCTGTAATGCTGTTCTCCCTTCAAGAATTCTTAGAAAACTTCAGGGCTGTTTCCCTCTGATGCTGTGAGGCTGAGAGGCTGTGAGCTCTCAGCCAGAGCTTTTGGGACCTTTCCCCTGGAATTTCTGTTTCTGTATCCCCGGACGTTATTGAGAAAGGAAGCTTTTCTATGGGACGAGCTGGTCTATGTCCTATAGCTTAGCTACCTTGTGTAAGACTGCCCAAAATGGCTCCTTTCCTTCCCAGAGCCCTGAACAAGGGGCAGAACCAAAGCTTAATTATGATGGACAGGTGGCCTGCCCTATGATTGCAAACTTTAACAGAAAGAAAATAAAGTTGGAGCTCCTGGTACAGCCGTACCAGCACAAATACAGTTGTTGTTGTTTTTGTCATGTCAGGAGCGACTTGAGAAACTGCAGTTATAATGTATAGGAAAACCACAACCAAAGTTCAAAACTTAGCATTATACTAAATTTTCTTTGACCAGAAGCTGGTCACTTGGAGTGCCTCTGGTGAAGAAGGTCCTCCATTGTTCACGTGGCAGAGCTCAAACTGCATTGGAATAGGTTTCGCATCTTTGGTGCCTGTTGCTCTGAGGGTACTATTGTGCACATATGGTGCTTTTTGTTGTGGCCTTGGGCCCATACAACAAACTATTTTGATTGATTGTAATAGGTGGTCTGTGGTTTGCTCTCCTCCACACTAACATGTCGAGGACTCCACTTTGTGACTCCATTTCTTAAGGTTAGCTCTGCATCTTGTGGTGCCAGAGCACAGTGTATTCAGCACCTTCCAAGTCATCTGCAATATTGCCTAAACAGTATGAGAGTTGAAAGATAAGTAATGCCTCCACCTTCGTTACTTGGGTTTGGATGGAAATATTTTAATAAATCAAACGTAGAAATAATCCTTAGAATGTGCTCTTTAACTACCACTATTCACTTTTCCACATAATCACCAGACAATTGGATACATTTCTGCCAACGATGAACAAGTTTTCTGAAGCCGTCATGGAAGAAGTCAACACTCTGTTTCCGCAACCCATCGTGCACAGATCTTCCAATAGCCACACAAAGCAATAATGTGACCCACACATTCTTTGTGAAATGCCAATTACGCTTGAAATTTCTCTCTGAGTGATACAACGATCATCCTGAATCAATCTGTCAACATTTTGCTTGTGAAACACTGTAGTTGCTGTCACAGGACGTCCAACTCTTTGTTTGTCACGCAAGTCAAATATACCCACCTCAACCTCTTTAAACTTACTCGCCCAACAACGCACACTACTCACATTAACACAATCACCATAAACAGCTTGCATTCCCTGATCAATCTCCTTTGGGGTGACACCTTCTGCTGTCAAGAATTCAATGACTGCACGTTGCTTACGTTGTATTAACCCACCGTATGCGCAGGGTCCCATATTTCGCACTTTAACAACACAACCATTCAATGCTAAGAATTCTCACCAAAATGGAACTGTAGAGGAAAGACTACTTAACAAGCCAGTACCTGCCGCATACCAGTACTGCTATCTGCTGAGGAGTTACGAAGGTGGAGGCATTACTTTTCATTCAACCCTCATATAATTTCTCCAGCGGTGTAGGGCATAGACATCCCGTGATAATGTGGTATGTCTCATTTAGAGTCACATCCACTATTTTAACGTACTGAGATGTATTCCATACTGGGCATGCATATGCAGCATCAGAGTAGCAAAGCGCAAGGGCAGATGCCTTCACTGTGTCTGGTTGTGACCCCCAGGTTATGCCAGTCAGCTTTTGTATGATATTATTTCTAGCACCAACTTTTTGTTTGATATTCAAGCAGTGCTTCTTATAAGTCAGTGCCAGTTAAATGGGAATCACACTGTGTTGTGTGGTATGAAAGGATGCCTTCAAGTCCTGCTTGGGCATGGAAACCCACTGGATGACCATGAGCAACTCACACTCTCTCAGCCTCAAAGGAAGGCAAGGGCAAACTTCTTCTGAAATCTTGCCAGAAAACACCCTTAGGGTCACCAAACAATTGGACTAACCTGAAGGCACTCAACAACATTATCATCAGCAGCATCAACAAGTTGACCCATTGAATCAATTGAACATGGTTGTATATTGACGGATTGAATGGGTTTTGCACTAACCAATGAATGGGTCTACTGTAGTTTGAATTAGCCAATTGTTAGCCAATCAGAAAATTAATGTTCTTCTTAAATAAGCTATTATATTCTTACTTCTGGGAAGTGGAAAAGACAACTTGTCTGGTTGGGATAGGCCAACAACTATGACTGGCATCAGTTGGCATCTTAGCTATGCATAAGTTTTCCTAAGCAAATAGTTGGCCATTTTTGCTACAACTACAGGTTCATAGATGCGGAATTCTGCATATGACACTATTGCATGTACTTGTGCATAGATGCACACACATATGTGGATTCAGCTACACATAATTTGCAGAACCCTTCAGTTCATCAGTGCCATGCTGTTGCACAATTGCTGCAGAAAGATAGCCTCTGTCTCCACGATACAAAGATCTCAGCCTACATTTCCTTCATTACATTGTACCGTGGCTTTCCTATTCTGTGTAAATCCCTGTGGTTTGGAGCTGTCCTTCATTCAACGCACACTGAATGAATGCTCAGACTGCCAGGTTTGCTCTGTGGGCCTCCTTTAAAAGCATTCAAGAAGTGTGAAAGGAATGCTTCACAGCCCCAAATGGATTTGCTCAGAGTGTGCTTGAATGGGTTGTAGGTTTGCTTTATGCCTCTCCAGGAAGCCTTCAAAACGACCTGACTTCTCATCATCTTGTCTCCATCTACTGGGCATTTTAAGGAATGTGGTTCCAAAGTTGTCCCAAGGACTGGGATGTGTGGTGCTTACTGGTGGTTTGTTATTGTTGTTTTCCACATCTCATTGTTATTAAGACAACTCTTATAGCAGTTAGGTGTCTTGTGTCCAAATTTGGTGTCAATTCATCCAGTGGTTTTTAAGATATGTTAATCCCACAAACAAACATTACATTTTTATTTATATAGATACTACCCATCCCCTGCCACACGTTGCTCTGGCCCAGTCTGTGTATATGTGCTTTGTGTGTGTATAACTGTGTGTATATATTTGTGTATGTATGTGTGTATAACTGTGTGTATATATTTGTGTATGTATGTGTGTTTGCATATATATGTAGTGTTACGCATACGCTGTAATGTATTTTTTTATTTTTTGGCTTTTAAGTCCCTTCTGTTGTGTTTTAAAGTGTTTGTTTGAGTTATGGTCACTCCTTGGTTTGAAACGCATATTGTGTCCAAATTTGGTGTCAATTCGTCCAGTGGTTTTTGAGTTATGTTAATCCCACAAACTAACATTACGTTTTTATTTATATAGATATTAGCCATCCCTTGCCATGCATTGCTGTGGCCCAGTCTGTGTATATGTGCTTTGTGTGTGTATAACTGTGTGTATACATTTCTGTATGTATGTGTGTTTGCATATATTTGTGTTGTTGCACATGCGTTGTAATGTGTGTGTGTTTTTTTTTAATTTTTGGCTTTTTAAGTCTCTTCTGTTGTGTTTTGCAGTAATTTTTTTTTGAGTGATGGTCACTCCTTGGCCTGATATGTGTATTGTGTCCAGATTTGGTGTCAATTCACCCAGTTGTTTTTGAGTTATGTTAATCCCACAAAGGAACATTGCATTTTTAGTTATATAGACTAGCCATGCCCTGCCACGCATTGCTGTGGCCCACATGGGGGTTTTGTGCGGGAGGTTTGGCCCAATTCCATCATTGGTGGGGTTCGGAATGCTCTGTGATTGTAGGTGAACTATAAATCCCAGGAACTACAACTCCCAAATGTCAAGATTTTATTTTTCCCAAACTCCATCAGTTTTCATATTTGGGTATATTGAGTATTTGTGTAGAGTTTGGTACAGATCCATCATTGTTTGTGTGCACAATGATTTCTGGATGTAGGTGAACTACAACTCCAAAACCAAAGGACACTGCCCACCAAACCCTTCCAGTATTTTCTGTTGGTCATGGGAGAAGTGTGTGCCAAGTTTGGTTCAATTTCATCGTTGGTGGAGTTCAGAATGCTCTTTCATTGCTCATGGGGGTTCTGTGTGGGAAATCTGGCTCAATTCTATCATTGGTGGGGTTCAGAATGCTCTTTGATTGTAGGTGAACTATAAATCCCAGCAACTGCAACTCCCAAATGACAAAATCAATTTTTTTTGAGCGAAGGACATACATTGGGTTGTTAGGTGTCTTGTGTTCAAATTTGGTGCCAATTCATCCAGGGGTTTTTGAGTTCTGTGAATACCACAAACGAACATTACATTTCTATTTATATAGATAGCTATAGATGATTTAATGAAAACAACCTGGTGGAGATCACCACATTTGCCTCATGCCCCTGCTTCACTGTCTCTTTTTCTCTTTCTCTCTCTCCAGGTGGTCAGCCAGATCGACAAGTTGACTTCAGACTTTGAGTTTGAGCTGGAGCCCGACGACTGGACCACAGCGACGGTGAGCAGCACGTCCAGCAGCGACAAAGGAGGGGGCATGTTTGACCTTGGGAACCTGGACTTCATGACCTCGGACATCCTCTCCGACAGCTGGGAGTTCTGTTCCTTCTTGGAAGCCTCCACGCCGTCAGACTCGGGCGATGGCTCGGAGCAGCAGCAACCGCAAAGCCGCCAGCCTGACTACCGCCTCATGAATGGCGGGGTGCTGATCCCCAATGGACCCCGAATCGGAACGCCGGACTCTTCCAGCGAGGAGGCCTTCAGCTCGGCCCCGAGTCACAAAGCCCAGCACCAGCGGACGGCGGGCACCAGGGAGCGGGTGCGGTTCAGTGACAAAGTCCTCTACCACGCTTTGTGTTGCGATGACGATGAGGAGGCGGACAGCAGCCCGCTGCCCGAGGACCCTCCGGAAGAGGCCAGTGACCCGGCTCACAAAGCAGGGCAGGTGGCCAAAACCCTGCCACGGCGGTCACCTCACCTGAGTAGCGCTCAGCAACAAAAGCTGACGCGGAACAGCAGCACGCAGACCGTATCGGACAAAAGCACCCAGACGGTGCTGCCTTATATCTCGAGCAAACAGAAAATCACAAACAAAAACTGAGGACTAGCGTTGTGGGGAGGAATCGGGGCGGGAACGGCGGAGCAGGGCGGGTGGGGTAAAAGCTTCAGATATATATATAAATATATAAATCTCTCTATATATTTAAGTCAATAAATAATAACGATATGATTAAAAAAAACGAAACCACCATGGTGACAGGATCTCATCCTGAAGCTACCTATCCATAATGTCAAGACTCAGGGAATTTCAATATGTTTTCATTTTACTGAATGGCGCTTTGTTTTTCTAGCTTAATAAATGCGAGGCTTAGCCAGAAATACGAAGAAACACATACCCCACCTCTTGCCTGAGAAAAATATGGAAACTTTAAAAGGAAAACTGCCAGGCCAGTTAGTTTCTGCAAGTGTTTGGGGGAAAGGGAGAACAGATCTTTTGCGTCAGGCAACAAAATGCCTCGTAGATCAATGTTGGGTATCTTGTTGGTATTATGCATTGCTTTCATTGTGCCAAAGGAAAAAATGTATAGTTGAAGCCTTTCATGGCCGGAATCTCTGGATTGTTGTAAGTTCTTCGGGTTGTATGGTCATGTTCTAGAAGCATTCTTTCCTGACATTTTGCCTGCATCTGTGGCAAGCATCTTCAGAGGTTGTGAGGTTTCATCTGCATCCGTATCAAGCACCYTCTGAAGATGCTTGCCACAGATGCAGGTGAAACGTCAGGAGAGAATGCTTCTAGAACATGGCCATACAACCCGAAAAACCTACAACAACCCAAAAAATGTATACTTTTCTCCTTTTATTGGGTGCATTCATGCCATTGACATTCAATGACAAAGAAAGACCATCAGAAGTCTGCAACTGGATGAAGGTTAGAGGTTGTTGTAGGTTTTTTGGGTTGTACGGCAATGTTCTAGAAGCATTCCCTCCTGACATTTCACCTGCATCTGTGGCAAGCATCCTCAGGGGTTGTGAGGTTTTGCYTGCATCTGTGGTAAGCATCCTCCAAAGATGCTTGCCACAGATGTAGGTGAAACATCAAGAGAGAATGCTTCTAGAACATGGCCATTACAGACCAAAAAACCTACAACAAACCAAAAAAAAGTATATCTTTTCATTTTATTGGGTGCGTTCATGTCATTGACATTCAATAATGAAGAAAGAAAATCAGAAGTCTGCAACTAGATGAAGGTTAGAAGTTGTTGTAGGTTTTTTGGGTTGTATGGCCATGTTCTGGAAGCATTCTCCTGACGTTTCGCCTGCATCTGTCGCAAGCATCCCCACAGGTTGTGAGTTTCGCCTGCATCTGTGACAAGCATAGAATCATAGAATCATAGAGTTGGAAGAGCTCTCATGGGTCATCCAGTCCAACCCCATTCTGCCAAGAAGCAGGAAACTTGCATTCAAAGCACCCCTGACAGATAGCCATCCAGCCTCTGTTTAAACGCCTCCAAAGAGGGAGCCTCCATCACACTCCTGGGCAGAGAGTTCCACTGCTGAACAGCTCTCATAGGTCGTTCTTCTGAAGATGATTGCCATAAATGCAGGCAAAACGTCATGAGAGAATGCTTCTAGAACATGACCATACAACCTGAAAAACCTACAACAACCCTCTCTATATGTGTGTGTGTGTGTGTGTGTGTGTGTGTGTGTTCCTTTTATTGGGTGCATTCATGCCATTGACATTCAATGACGAAGAAAGACAATGAGAAATCTGCAACTTGATGAAGGTTAGAGATCAATTCATGCATGTATTGGCTGCAGGGTTCCCATGTTTAGGTCGACATCTGGAGCAACAAGAGTATGTGCCAGAAAGATCAATGCAATAATCTTAAAGAAGTGACGATCCATTTAGCCAACAAAGGTTCTGTTTTTTAATAAATAAGGGACACCTGACATATTTATTTGCAGCTGGCCCAAAACAAACCCTTGATGTTCTTACAATCTTGATTTGAAGTTTTTCGTATTAAAATCAAAGTGAGAAGAAGGGAGAGCAATGCTACTTAACGCCTTTTGGGGCTCTCCTTGGGCACACGGGTTGCTCCACCACTGCCTACGAGCCCCTTGCTTTTTCTTTTACACCCTTGTCCATTTTATCCCAATGGTTTTAGGCAGGAAAGGAACAGTTTCTAGCATGTTTCACATTCGTTGACATGTTTTAGATCCATCAGATACCGCTGTCAGAAGCATCTCTGCTAAGTGCTAGGGAAGGAAGGGTCTCCACCAATTTGTTCCTTTCACAAGGCAGGCTGCCAAGAAATGACACTTTTGACATGTTGGTTGTTTGGAGTCTGCATTGTTTTTTATATAAAAATAAGGCAATCACAACTTGCAGCTTCACTCCATCAGCCTCTGCTTGTCAGCACAGCTTTGCTTCAATTGATTTCTTCTGGTCCATCTCAAGGCATGAAGTGAGAACTGGGCTTGTTTCGACAACATTTCTTCTTGGGTCAAATTACTCCATCTTCTGTCCACAAAATACGAGGGTTGAATGAAAAGTAATGCCTCCACCTTCGTAACTCCTCAACAGATGGCAGGACTGGTATGCGGCATGTACTAGCTTGTTCAGTAGACTCTCCTCTACAGTTCCATTTTTGTGGGAAGCCTTAGCATTGAATGCTTGTGTTGTTAAAGTGCGAAGTATGGAATCCTGCACAGATGGTCCATCAATGCGACTTAAGCAACATATGCAGCAGGTACTGGCTTGTTCAGTAGACTCTCCTCTACAATTCCATTTTGGTGGGAAGCATTAGCATTGAATTGTTGTGTTGTTAAAGTGCGAAGTATGGAACCCTGCGCAGACGGTCCATCAATGTGACTTAAGCAACGTATGCAGCAGGTACTGGCTTGTTCAGTAGACTCTCCTCTACAGTTCCATTTTGGTGGGAAGCCTTAGCATTGAACACTTGTGTTGTTAAAGTGTGAAGTATGGAATCCTGCACAGACGGTCCATCAATGCGACTTAAGCAACGTATGCAGCAGGTACTGGCTAGTTTAGTAGACTCTCCTCTACAGTTCCATTTGGCAGGAAGCCTTAGCATTGAATGGTTGTGTTGTTAAAGTGCGAAGTATGGAACCCTGCGCAGACGGTTGGTCAATGCAACTTAAGCAACGTGCAGTCATTGAATTCTTGACAACAGGCGGTGTCACCCCAAAGGAGATTAATCAGAGAATGCAAGCTGTTTAGAGTGATTGTGTTGATGTGAGTACTGTGCATCATTGGGCAAGTAAGTTTAAAGATGTTGAGGTGACACCTTCTGCTGTCAAGAATTCAATGACTGCACGTTGCTTAAGTCGCATTGACCAACCATCTGTGCAGGGTTCCATACTTCGCACTTTAACAACACAACCATTAAATGCTAAGGCTTCCTGCCAAAATGGAACTGTAGAGGAGAGTCTACTGAACAAGCCAGTACCTGCCGCATACCAGTACTGCCATCTGTTGAGAAGTTACGAAGATGGAGGCATTACTTTTCATTCAACCCTCATATGTGTGCTTGGTTCAATTCAATTCAAAAACATAGGCAAACATAAGAGCGAGGGATGAACTATGAGGGTTGAATGAAAAGTAATGCATTTCCAATGCATAGGTGAAATTGAATCGCTAAGCTCACATGCCCACGGACACTGAGGGATTTTGAGCACCGTGGTTTTTAAAAAATGCAGTTTTCCCAGGCTCTCCACCTGGGGCTGATCACAGTTCCAGGGAGGAGGTAATGAATCTGATTAACATCATACAGTTCAATGCCTGAATCAATAGACCCCTTGCCTTTTCATCCAAATTGATTTAGAAGCCCAAAGGGCTGTCAGGAAGATTTCAAAAAATCTAGTATCATTGATTGCCTTGCAGCCAAATCCTATGCATGTTTACTCAAATCATGATCCCTGGAGTTTAATAGGCCTGATTGCCAAGTGTGTTTATTTACGTAGGATTGCTGCCTTAGAGCCAGAGCGGTTTTCCTGGGCAGGAGGAGTGGAGAAGCCATTCCCTTCAACTACATATGCAGAAGGAAAGGGTGATGGCTCATAGGATCATAGGATCCTAGAGCTGGAAGACCTCATAGCCAATCCAGTCCAACCCCATTCTGCCAAGAAGCAGGAAAATTGCATTCAAAGCACCCCTGACAGATGGCCATCCAGCCTCTGTTTATAAGCCTCCAAAGAAGGAGCCTCCACCACACTCCGAGGCAGAGAGTTCCACTGCTGAATGCCTCTCACAATCAGGAAGTTCTTCCTCATGTTCAGGAGGAATCTCCTTTCTTGTGTATTATTTGAGAACACAGAAATGCTGGACCACTCTAACAACCACCATGTCAGACTACACAGAGAAGCCATTGAAATCCACAAGCATGTGGACAATTTCAACAGAAAGGAGGAAACCATGAAAATGAACAAAATCTGGGTACAAGTGTTAAAAAACTCTAAAATTACAACAGCACAACAGCAGAGGGAAAACAATCAGGGACATCTAATCACCTCTCAACAAGAAGCCCCCAGTGGTGCAGTGGGTTAAACCCCTATGCCGGCAGGACTGAAGGTCGCAGGTTCGAATCCGGGGAGAGGCGGATGAGCTCCCTCTATTAGCTCCAGCTCCCACAAGGATGATAAAACATCAAATCATCCGGGCATCCCCTGAGCAACGTCCTTGCAGACGGCCAATTCTTTCACACCAGAAGCGACTTGCAGTTGCAGGTCGCTCCTGACATAACAAAAAAAACACCACTCAACAAAAAATTTCCCCAGGCACTGCCAGGCCATCAAATGCTAATCAAGGTGGTTAGTTGAAACATGCACACCTAGCTCCAACAGACAAGAGTTCTTTGTCCCACCCTGGTCATTCCACAGATATATAAACCCATTTTCCTAGTTCCAACAGACCTCACTACCTCTGAGGATGCTTGCCATAGATGCAAGCAAAACATCAGGAGAAAATGCTTCTAGAACATGGCCATATAGCTGAAAAAACCTACAACAACCATAGTTTGAAGCCATTGCTCCATTGCGTCCTAGTCTCCAGGGCAGCAGAAAGGAAGCTTGCTCCCTCCTCCTCCCTATGAATTCTCCTTACATATTTATACATGGCCCGCATAATGTCTCCTCTCAGCATTCTCATCTTCAAGCTAAACATGTCCAGCTCTTTAAGCCGCTCCTCATAGGGCTTGTTCTCCAGACCCTTGATCATTTGAGTCACCCTCTTCTGGACATATTCCAGCTTGTCAACATCTCCCTTCAATTGTGGTGCCCAGAATTGGACACAGTATTCCAGGTGTGGTCTGACCAAGGCAGAATAGAGCATGGGGAGCATGACTTCCCTGGATCTAGACACTATATTCCT